CTTCCTAGGGCTGAGAGAGAGGGACTGGCCCAAAATCACTCAGCTGGCTTCATGCTTAAGGCAGGACTAGAACTCTCAGTCTTCCAGTTTCTAGCCTGATGCTTTAACCCCTACACCAAACTGGCTCTCTAATACATTGTACTCAGCCCCAAACCATGGTCCCAAGTCAGTGATTGGCTAAGATCAAACCTCCCACGATGCCTTAGCACAACGTCGGGAGCCTGCAGGAAAATTGAGACCTTCGCTGATAAATAAGGCTCCTGGTGTGTTGTTTCTTAAGTGTTTCAACTCTTAACATTTTCACTCTATACACAGATTTCTTTGGGCGGGGGGTGATCAATTTGTTATATGAAGTACACAATTGTCTTAAGCAATGGAAGCAAAATCTGTTGGTGTGGGTATGTGCGAGGGAGAGAAATGAACTGTTTGGTTTTTGGTTTTTTCAATGAAAATATACATATGGCTGAAGAACTAATACAATGAAACGTTCTGGTTTTGTTTCAAAACTTTCTTTGCACCAGACCTCTTCTGAGATTCGTTTATTTATCTCCCTTGGCGAGAATGCCAGAAAACGGGCTAATTTTATCATCCCGCAAAAGCCACACCAGGGAAAAAAACAACCGATGCCCCATGTTTGAAAAATGCTACCACCATCACCTCCTCTTCATTCCTAATTGCAGAAAAGACATAAATTACTGTACATAAATTATACTGTACATAAATTATTTCATGGCATGGAGGGAGGCATTTGAAATACAGTTTTCCTAAAAGGCTTTTTATTCTAATTATTTATCTCTTGATAACGCTGTCCAAAATAGTGGAATACATCAGGGACATCGAAATATTTAAGCAACATCCTTGAAGGGAGAAAAAATAAATAACGTAAGTCACTTGCTGTTCTAGTTGTTAAACTTCACTTACAAATGGTCTCATATCCCCACCTCTCTGACAGCTCTGAAATATAAAAGAAAAGAGATTTTTAAAAAAGCCTATCCAACTAATCAACTCAACTGGAGATGATTAATGAGTAAATTACAGTCAGTCCCAGGGAGGGGGGAAAGTCTTCCAAAATTCACATAAATGAATGATGGTTTCAATGTCTGATTTTCTAACTTAAACTACAACTTTCCAGGGAAGCAAAAAAAAAAAAAAGGGGGGGGGTTGCTTGTATTTAACCTGTTAGGAGAAAGACCCCATTTAAAAAATAAATAAATAAATAAATTGAAGGCTGCAGTCACTAGCAGAGGCAACTGAATGTAGGAAGAAAAAGTCATCATAAGAACATCAGAACATCAGCCTTGCCCTGCTGGATCAGACCCCTGTTTTTCCAGTGGCCAACCAAGAGACTCTTGGACCACATTATTATTTTTTTTAAATGGCTTTCAACAGAGGAAAGGATTAATTTCCGAGTTCACTGATTGTCCTTTTTCCAGTTACTCCAGTACAGATCCATTTATACCTCCCATTCCCCTTGCCCCAGCGTTCTGTGTCTGCTGAGTATCTCATGTACTATATCAGGGTTTCTCAACCTTGGCAACTTGAAGAAGTGTGGACTTCAGCTCCCAAACACTGGTGTAGACAATGTCTGTGCACCATATAACACATGTCTTGGATGCTGTGGATCAGTGTGTTAAGTTCCTGGAGGAGACGCATCCTAAGAATACCAAACACCTGTTTTTCCCCCCAAGAATCCTCTGTCCCTCAAGAATCCTTTGTCCTAAAAGTCTATTTCACTTCTGAGCTGAGTTTGCTGAGAATCTGAGAACTTAGGATCTCCTCCATTTGGTAGGATCTCCTCCATTTGGTAGGATCTCTTCTTCCAATGGCCAACCATCAGATTGATCCAAGGCCTGTAGTCCAGGTGGTTTCTGCCCTCCTTAGCATATGGTGTGAATATCCAACATCTGAAGTTTGGCTTGTCTGAGGAACATCATCTGTTAAGGCTGGGGAATTCTGGGATTTGAAGTCCCCACATCTTCAAGCTGCCAAGGTTGAGGAGCACTGTTCTAGATCCACCAACCACACCTTTTCCCACTTCTTAAGACATTCTAAAACCCGGGTTGTAGAGGGAGAAACATAGAAGCTTCTTTTGCAGAAGATGAAAAACTGTTTAAAAAAATCAAGAAACCAAAGAACAAGTCTCTGCACTAATCAAACCATTAAAAAAAAAATCAAGAAACCAAAGAACAAGTCTCTGCATTAATTCTCACATTCATGGAGGAAGGTTTGAGTTCTGACCCACTGACGTCACGGCCTATCCAAAGATGCAACTTGCAAACAAACCCACCAACGTTAAAATAACTGGGTCCAAAGGATCCGGCTTCCTTTTCTTCCCCCATCTATAATATATTTGCCCCGAAGCCAGCAGCACTTGATGGTTTTGTGGTTGTAGCGATCACACAACTGCAACTTCAGAGGTTTGTAATTACAGAAACATTTTCTGCTACACCAAGCACCGGCCGTTAAAGCTCACGCCGACAGCTTTACACTCTATTCCCTTCTGAGGCTATTGCCCCACTGCCCTGCAAGGTGAAAAGAACAGGGTGGAAAATAATTGCGCCAAAGGGAAAACCCAGCATGTTGCATTACAAATTCAGTTCCACTACTCAGATTTGAAGAAATGAAATGGGGGGGAAATAAATCCACTAACGTCATGGGCGGGGCTGATTCTGAATTGGGGGAACGTGCAAAAATGAAAGTTATAAGAGTACATTCCTAGAATGGTTTGTAATGGTT